TGCCTCTCATCGCTTGTTAAGAGCGACGACCACCACCGTCGTCTTCGTCTGTCAACGCAACACTATCAGTCTTCGAAGTCGGAGCTCGCCGCCGCCGCCGCCGCTTCAGCTACTGAGTCCGCTGCTTCGGCTTCCACGAGATCTGGTTCTGCAGCGTGAGTCCGACACCGATTCGGCAGCCTGCCTGACCGTCCGTCGTCGTCTGACCCCAGCCTACCGTCCGTCACCATCGCAGCTTGCCACATATTCCGTCGCCGTTGTCGCTCCATCGGGGTATCACTAGCTTCTCTGATTTTTATACTCTTTGAGCAGTTTCAACTTTTTTAATTCCCATCTTTGAGCTGTTGATGTTTTGTAATTCCAGATGCTACTTTCAATTGTCAAGCACATATCATTTGGAATCTTCTCCAGGCTAAAAGAATTCATATTTCATATCACCTTTTCCTTCCTCCAGTATTTTTTTTTCCTGTTTTTGTAGCAAGTAGTGCTATGTTTTGGATTTCTATATATATTATTGGTTTTTGTCCTAATAATCTGTGCCATTGTTCTTCGTTTTTCCTTCCAATGGTGTTCGGTCTTGGATCTCTATAAATTTTTAGCTTGTAAACCTTATGTTTTTATTTTCTTAGTTTTTTTAATATTTCTTGTGCTTTGAGTTTTAAAAATATTTCACTATTTTAATTTTATTATTTAAAAATCTTAAGTAACCCTCAAATCTTCTTTCATTCTCACGCTCTTCCCCAGCCGATTGTAAAGGAAGCAGTCTAGCAGAGTCTGTGGTGGTTTATTTATTTATTTTTGGGGGGGGGGGTGATGTATTAACACATGCTGCATGTGATATGAGTTGCATTATTGAACTTGTTGATTTTTTTTACAGGGTACATGTAAATAGAGGCTTTTGTATTATATATAAATTTATAGTTTATTCAGAACATGAAATGCCACACATGTTTTATCTCTGACTCTTTCAACTTTATTCGTGGGTATATTTGATGCTTGTGCTACGTCATGGCTGGAGGTAGTAGCAAGTTGAGGGGTTTGGCTCATCAAGATAAACATCTCATGTCATCTCTACTGATATATATGATGAATAACCTGATTGGATTTTAAAAATGAAGATTAATATCCACCAATTTATAATTATATCAGCAAAAAGGTCTGACCTCAACTAGTATATATAAATGACCTCACTTAAGATTTAATAACAGAAAAGAACACCCAAAATAAACTTTCACGACATTTACAAAACAATGTGAATAAACTTGCTTTTGCCAAAATAACAACAAAATTGGAGCCAGATATAGAGCCATGACATTTTCTTTTTCAGGCATGTGAATACGCTTGGTTTTCCCCAAAACATTGTATTCTTTGTTCTGTGAGCCAAATGTAAGGCCTTTTGTTATCTGGAAATCGGGGTTTGTGATGGTCAGAATCAGAATTGAATGGAATGGAAAAAATGGTCGTCAGTTGAGTTGGATAAAATATTTATGTAGTTATTAATTACATACACACATATATATATATATATATCTGTGTATAATATGTAGTTATTATTATTACATTTTATTTATATATTATTTTTATTAATATTTAGAATTATATTTTCTTCAAAATAATTAGTATTTATATTTAGTATAATTTTGCCCCCTACTAATAAATTTTTATGGATCCGTGACTGCTTATAGATTTGATGTATACCTGATAATGCCCAGCATCCAACGGCCCATTCTAACATATCATTCTAAAGTTGCTGATCCAGGAAGTGATTAAATTTGTCCCTTCGTTTTACCCCCCTATGATCAAATATCATCTTCTTCGATTCCTGGTAATCTCCACTATACTTCAATCTCCATCATCAGGTATCACAAGCTTCTCTGATTTTTATACACTTTGAGCAGTTTCAACTTTTTTAGTTCCCATCTTTGAGCTGTTTATGTTTTGTAATTCCAGATGCTACCTTCGATTCACCAAGCACATACCAGTTGAAATCTTCTCCAGGCTAAAAAAGGTTCATATTTCATATCCACTATTTCTCCTTTTCTAGAATTTTTTTTCTGTTTTTATGGTTAATAGTGCTCTGTTTTGGATATATATATGCATATATATTTGTTTTCGACCTAATAATCTGTGCCATTGTTCTTTTTCCTTTCGATCCTTTTGTTTTTATTTCTTAGTTTTTTGATATTCTTGTAATTGGGTTTTAAAAATCTTAAGTTACGCTTAACTCTCTTCTGATTCTCGCGGTCTTAAAAAATCCCGTCCCCAGCCGATTGCAAATGAAGCAAGTCAAGCAGAGTCCGTAGGTTTAATTGGGGAAAGAATTAAGAATGAAAATCAAAACAAAAGTGGTTGATTTTTAACAATGCACTTATTACACATGCTGCATGTGGTGTGAGTTGTATCATTGAACTTGTTTGAATTTATTTACACTGCATATGTAAATAGTAGTTTTTTCCTTTACTCATGGACGGTGCATATTTTTATAAGTTAACTATCTAGATATTACTCAACACATGATAGATTTTTAACACGTATGTTTTAAAAAATATGTTTTAAAAAAATTACAATTTAAAAGTTTTAAATATGCATTTTCCAAAGCATGTCTGGAATGTCAATTCATAAGAATTATAAAAAAAATTAAATTAAATTTAAATCATCTACATTAAATATTGGCTGCCTAGATTGCTAATCAAGCAAATTGATTAAATTTTTTTATTGAAATTCACATTATTAACATTTAATTTGTACTGCCTAGATTGATTAAACAAATTTATTGATTTTTTATTTTTATTTAATAATTTATAATAAAATAAAAAATAAAACCTTTGAACTTGGACTCTCCGGATTTAATCAGGCAATCCAAATAGTGCTCTTTTGGATGCACATATTATTCGTGCTTGTCCTAATAATCTGTGCCGTTCTTCTTTGTTTGTCCTTTCAATCCAACCTGCATAAATCTTTGGCTTGTAAATCCTTTTGTTTTTATTTTCTTTTTTTTTTTAATTTGTGATTTGAGTTTTAAAAATATTTCACTATTTTAATTTTATTCTCCTTGTTCGCCCCAAAATACTATATTCCTTGTATCTCAATAGCATATAATCATGTTACTTTGTGGCATGCACTTATCATATTCTTCAACTTCCATTAATGTGGAGCTCTCATGCTTATGAACATGATTAACCACTTACCTTCTCAATGGCCACAACTCTCTCCTTTCTCTTCTATGTCTCCATTTTTCACCTCCACCTCATGGATATAATGACTATTATAATGGCCAACAGAAATATGGTGTTGGTTGAAATTCCCAAACTCAATCGGACCATCTGAACAATGAATCTTTTCAACAAATGTAAGTAAAGACACTAACATTTGTCTCTCCATTTTTTAACTCAACGCCCTCACTATTCTTCTCCAATCGCACTCTCTTACTTGAAATCTAAAGCTAGTGATAATACTATCGTCCTCACATATGTAGACCTTCATTGTCACTTTATGAAATTTCAAATGGTGAAGATCCAAATAATTGAGGACACACACTAACCCTGCACTTTTCCCATTGATTGTGCCTCCCATGTTTATCTGCTTTGGCCCACTCCATCATAGTCGCAACTAAACAAGCTTGACCAAGACAATTGAAGAATGGATTTGATCCAAATTTACACAGCCTTCAAAATCTAAAAGTTCAATATTTGGGGCCTGAGACAGATTTGAGAGTGTATTGAGACATCTTGAGTGCTTTACATTGATTAGTTTTAAATTTGAAAAACGCTGAAAAATGTTAAATAAATTAGATAACTAAATTTAATCTTGAATTCCTCCTATGACAGTTTAAAAATATGAGATCACTATAGATATATTTGGATAACCAATTATATTGTTTAGGTATCAATGTAAAGGCAATGAAGCAAAGATGTGCATTATTAAATTCTTTGGAGGCTTGATATATATACTTAAAATTAAAGAGGTTGTTAGAATCACACAAAAAGCTTATCTGTAAACATAGGAAAAATGATACATGATCTCCATTCCAAAATTGTCAGATATGACTATTAGCGAGACATTTCAAATAATTAAATTATTTAATCATGAAGTTAATTCTCTCATCACAAAGAAAAATGAGATGAGATTTTGTAAGGGAAATCAGTTAGAAAAATTCTTGTAATCTTAAAATTATTTGAAGATGATAAAGCAAGTGTTCATACAATTTGAATTTGTTGAATATTTGATGTGTGAGATCTAAAAGTTTGATGAGGTTCTCAAAATCACAAAAAAATAGCCTGGATATCCTCTCTTCTACCTTGTTCTTGTCCAATTAATGCATCAAATGCTCTCATTCTCCTAAAAAAAAATCAAACATGGAAAAACACACAAACTATTGCATAAAAACATGAATAAAACCACAAAAAAAATATCAACTACTTGCTTTTAAATTACATCCAATATCAATACTTGCCATTTGTATCATTTATTTTAAATATTATTTCATCAATTCATCTTTTATTGATAACAAATGAATTCCTAAATCACACAATGTGGCATTAGTTATTTAAATCCAAAAAAATGGTTTTTTTAAGAAGTAAATTTAATTAAAAAAAATTATAACATAACAAAAAAATAGAAGACATGAAAATACAATCATTTTTTATATTCATGTCTGATGATAAGTATTGAATTGCCTTAAGACCCTAGTGAGCAAATCATGTAGGGAAATGATTAATATGTAAAAAGTAATCAAATAATTATTAGAACAACTAATTAAATGTTACTTTTGGAAAAATCTAAATGAATTCTCATTTAATTTGTTTTGTTTATATAATCTAATTAAAAAAATTCAAGGCATACAAAATTGACTTAACTTCAAGATTCAAGGTAATAATATTAAGACTCACCAAAATTTAAATTAAATGAATATGTACATAACTTAAGGAAAATGTGGAAACATGTCAAGGAAATAAAAAAATCTAAAAGATAAACTAAAGATAATAGAATAAATATTACTTGTGATGATAACAAAAATAACAAATATCCTCATTCCTCCATAGTCAAGTTGGTATTCTATCTATAGAAATTGCTTTTTTTAGAAATTTCAAGACCCATTGTCATGAGGAAAATGTGCATCTCAATACAAACACATCTATCAACTGAAATAAGGGATCTATCTTCAAGAACACCAACCAAAAGCCATGCAGAAGAGCCACATAAGCATCTGATATAATCAAGAGAAATCCTCCTTCCCTCATTCAACAAAAATGTGAGGTCAAGAAATAGTTCCTTTGGTTGTGGTTTACTCCATCAAAACTCAATTTCAACGAATTGAAAATTGAATGTCAAGATTTTGACTTAACATTTCAAAAGTAGCTTCCCACTCTTCTCTTCTACAACCAAAAGAATAGTAAGCCAAGCTTTTTAGAGCTAAGGGATTTTCTTGATAGAAATCCACTACACGTTTTGATAACTTTAAATAGCTTTTTGATGGCTCATTTTGCCAAACGCTTTTAAAGCAAATAGTTTAAGAGTATATTGGGAATTTAATTTTGGAACTTGATATATGTTAGCACTAGGAGACTTAAGCACATGCTTGTCTCTTGATGTGATTATAATTCTACTACCTTTCCTTAATCGATTACTTACTTTGATCAAATTATCAATTTTGAACTAGTTGTCCACATCATCAAGTATCATAAGAACTTTATTCTAATATACTTGACATTGCGGACAACTAATTCAAAATTGATAATTTGATCAAAGTAAGTAATCGATTAGGGGGGAGGAATCACATCAAAAGACAAGCATGTGCTTAAGTCTAAAAATGTGTAGTGGATTTTTGTCAAGGAAATCCCTTAACTCTAAAAAAGCTTGGGTTGTTATTTTTTGGTTGTGGAAGAAAAGTGTTGGAAGCAGCTTTTTAAATGCTAAGTCCAAATCTTGACATTCAGATTTTCAATCTATTGAAATTGAGTTTTGATGGACTAAACCACAACCAAAATGAACTGTTTCTTGACCTCACATTTTTGTTGAATGAGAGAAGGAGGATTTTTATTGATTGTATCAAATGCTTATATGGATCTTTGCATAGCTTTTGGTTAGTGTTCTTGAAGATAGATCCCTCATTTCAATTGATAGATGTGGTTGTATTGAGATGCACAATTAAATCGTGATAATGGGTCTTGAAATTTCCAAAGAAAAATTTCTAGATAAAATACCGGCTTGACTATGGAGGGATGAGGATATTTGTTATTTTTCAAAGAAGCCTTTATAGGTGAATATTGGTGAAAACATAGATTATCTTTCGAAGGAACTAAGGTTTTTAAGTAGGCAAGAATGTCCTCTATCATAGGTGCCATTAAAATTATGTGCTGACAATCTTGTACAACTTCAAATGCTTGGTAGTCATCTCGAACAAGTTTGGGATGGAGATCAAGTATATATTATCAATTATTTTTTTCTATAAATTAATAGTATTGTTTTTTGTGATTTTGAAAACTTCATCAAACTTTTAGATATCTCATGCATCAAATATTCAACAAATTCAAATTGCATGAATGTTTGCTTCATCATCTTTAAATAATTTCAAGTTTACAGGACTTTTTCTAACAATTTCCCTTACAAAAATCTCATTTTTTTTGTGACGAGAGAATTGACTTCATGATGAAACTTTTCAGTTATTTGAAATGCCAAGCTAATAGTCATATCCAGCAATTTTGGAATGGAGATCATGTATGCATCATTTTTCCTTTATTTACAAGTAAGCTTTTTATGTCATTCTAACAAACTTTTAATTTTAGATGTATATGTCAAGCCTTAAAAATTGACCAAAGAATTTTATAATGCACATCTTTGTTTTACTATCTTTACGTAGATGGTTAAACAGTATAATTAGTTATCTAAATTCATATATAGTTATCTTATATTTCAAATTGTCATGAAAGGAATTCATGATCAAATTATTTAATTTATTTAACATTTTTTTCAGCATTTTTCCAAATTTATAGCTGATCGATGCAAAGCACTCGAGATGTCTCAAGATACTCTCAAATCTATCTCTGGCTTCAAATATTGAAGTTTTAGATGTTGAAGGCTGTGTAAATTTGGATCAAATCCATTCTTCAACTGTCTTGGTCAAGCTTGTTAAATTATGACTAGGATGGAGTAGGCCAAAGCAAATAAACATGGGAGGCACAATCAATGGAAAAATGCAGGGTCAGTATGTGTCCTCAATTATTTGGATCTTCACCATTTGGAATTCCACAAAGTGATAATGAAGGTCTTCGTATGTGAGGATGATAGTATTATCACTGGCATTAGATTTTTGGTTAGGAAAGTATGATTGGAGAATAATAGTGAGGGGGTTGAGTTAAAAATGGAGGCATAAAGGTTAGCATCTTTACTTTCATTTGTTAAAAAAGTTCATTAGTTAGATGGTCCAATTGAGTTTGGGGATTTCAACCAACACCATACTTCTCTTGGCCATTACAATAGTCATTATGGCTATGAGATGGAGGTAAAGAAGAGGAGACGTGGAAGAAAAAGGAGAGAGTTGTGGCCATTGAGAAGACAAGGGGTTAATCATGTTCATAACCATGAGGGCTCCACAATAATGAAAGTTGAAGAAGATGATGAATGCATATCACAAAGTAACACTGATTAAATGCCTGCTAACAAGATTTGCCAATCACACTACTTGCTGGTCACTATTGACAAAACATACATTAAAGGAAAGTTACCTGGAATAACGTAGGATGTAGCAGCACTCAAGTTTCAATTTTGAGATCACTTTCACTATCTCAATCCTGCCAAAGGATTTGGCCCCTCTTGGATCTAACAGTCTCTCTTGATGATGATAGCCCTTTAATTTTTTGGATCTCTTATTTGATAACTCAAATTGATGATCCATCTTTTAAATATCACTTGTTTTTACAATACCATGATGATCATATTTGTTTAACTAATATTAGGGATTTAGCCAATCATATTAAAATAAATTTATATAACGGATATAACTTGCACTTGTTGGGCGTGCAAATGTGATGGTGGTTGTCTGAAATGTTGTGTAGTCTTACTAACAGACCAAAAAAACAATTGTTATATGTAATTAGCATAATACGTTTATCAATTGACTTTGTTGTTGTAATGCAAAAAATAAGCTTGATTTCAGACATATCATTGATTTTCAGTTTGTTCATTCTCCATGAAGGTCCTATACAACATATTATATCATCATTGTTAGACTCGATGGTATATGATATATGTTTATGATGACAAATATGGAACAAACATATTATAGATGTTGCAAATATATTGTTTCAAAATAGATTATTAATGTCCTATTTATTTACGTGAATTCTATGCAAAACTAACCTACAAACATAGCTAGAAATAATATTATAAATAAATTTAGTAAAATTTGAAGTTTTGAATTTTCTTGTCTGTTCCTAATAAATAAATCATTTATATTTTTAATAGGAAAGTATGAGATTTTAATAGGTAATTTTAAAATTAATTTTTATTTTTTAAATAACTTTTTTTTATTTCTCTTAAGTGTTCTTCTATTAAAGGCAATCTTATTCGAACCGTGGTTAAGGATTGAATGTGGATGCCTCTCCTAGTAGGGATATGATATGGATTCATATCTTAATTCACCACATTATGAGGGATTAATTCTTTCCTCTAAACCGAACTCTTTATAGTTAAATAACTTCTAATAGGACACATAGTACAAGGGAGAATAAATTTTGAAATAAAATATATTATTTTTTATGACATTCTTTAGTTTTTAATGGACAACTAGAGTGACAAATATAATTTAATCAAGATTCAGTTATATTTAGATAGAAAGACATTATAATAGTTACCATTATATTTTAAACTCTTTTCAAACCTATATATTAATTGAAACAATTTTCTCGCTCCTCATCAACAATTTAATCAGTGATCCTTTTATGGAATGCCAGCTCTCTTATTAAAGCTAAGAGATAGGATAGAAGATATTGTAAAGTTGGCAACATCATTGTTGATGACTTCTTGCATGAAATATTTTTAAATAAAATTATATATATTAATAAAGTTCATTAAATACACTTTATAGTTTTTTTAAAATAAAAATATAAGCTTTCACAGATGCCTTTCATTCAATATTTCATTTGTAAAAAAATATTAAAGAGAGAATATAATGGAAAAGGAGAAGGGTAATATGAAAGAAGTATTATTAATGAAATTTTATTTTTATCAAAGTATTTTATATTTTAAAATATCAAATCTCATTTAAAAGTATCTTATAAATTAGAACAACTTCTGACTTCAAGTCCATAAAGTGTGGATGAGTTGGCAACAACGTGCACGATTCATGCGTCAACTAAACCTGAAAAATGAGTCACCTTCATTATTACTTTCCCATGTATCAAACCAACATGATTTTTCCCCTTTACTATCCATTTTTGCATCAATCATTCACTAGTATACAAGTAAGATTTAGTAGCATGTATTTTATAGCAATTAAAAAATAAAACACTACTAAAATGAAACTTGAAGGAACTTAGGTGGCGCTTATCAATTATTTTTTATTTACAATTGTAGTAAAATAATAAGAGGTGGCGCTTTTTCATAAAATCTCACAGTTTATTGTTACTGAATAATTAAGTAGCGTTTTAACAAAAAGAGCACCTAGTAATTATGGTAATATTATAAAAACTAATTTTATTTAATTATAATTATTATTATACTTATTAATACAATTATTATTCTTATTATTGTTATAACTTTTTATTGATTAGTAATGAAAATTTGAATTATATGTAATTAAGAATTATTACTATTATAAATATAATAAAATGAATGAATATAATAATGATTATTAAAATATTATTTTAAGTAGGGCTTTTGCAATATATCCCATATTATAGGATGAACAAACAACCCCATATTTATTATATTTTAGATTATAGTCAATTTATTATATTTATTAATGATATATCAGTGTATATCAATGATAAGCCTCTTGTAAATTTTTCAAATTTTCAATTATAAATTTAATGTAAACCTATCATACTCCCAAACTTTCAAAACTTTGGCCCATATTTTTTGGGCAAGAGATTTTTTTGGTTAGTGGACTAATTTATCCTTTTAATTATTAGTGTAAATTTTAATATAAATATTGTTAGCATAAATATATTAATAAATAAATAATTATTATTAATATAAGTATTAGTTTTCTTAAATTTAAAAATGAAAAGTTGAGGTGGCTATACCCTAGGGAAATGCCACCTGTAGGTTTTACTTTTTTAAAAAATAAAAAGCCTCATGTGGGGGGTTTCTTTTTGTGTTTTTGTTTTTGGGAAATCCCTGATCAGGTTTTCAATCCTACACAAGCTGGAAGTCAAGCACGCTCTTGTCGTCTTCAATTCACCTTCAGCTCTTCTTCCCTTCATCTAAGGGCTGAGATTTTTTTAAATAATATAATTAAACTCATCTACCCACATCTTAATGTGTAATAATGATAGTAATACTAATAATAATAATATTATTATTATTATTAATTCATATAATTATAACAACAACAACAATAATAATAATTAAAATAATAAATCATTGTTTTTTTAAATTAACTCAGGTGGCTAATTACTCTCGTGTGCTTCGACGATAGCTCCGACCACCGATTGTCAAAGAAATGATTCACAATTTTAGGATTCTCTGGTGGTTCAATGATGGGCTAGTATGAAGATTCATGGGCTTTCGAAGCAATTTCAAGTTTCAGGTTCTCGATGTGGCTCTCTCTACTCTTCAATCACTCGGAAATTCGATAATTTACCCTTTTGTAGAAATCGATTTTATGATTCTACCTATGATCTTGAATATTTTTTGGGGTTAATCTTTCATTTTGAATGTTGAACTTCTGCTTTCTCATCGAAGGGTAAATTAGCATAATACGTTTATCAATAGACTTTGTTGTTATAATGCAAAAAATAAGCTTGTTTTCAGATATATCATTGATTTTCAGTTTGTTCATTCTCCATGAAACTCCCATACAACATATTATATATCATTGTTAGACTTGATGGTGTATGATATATGTTTATGATGATAAATATGGAACAAACATATTATAAATGTTGCAAATATATTGTTTCAAAATACATTATTAATATCCTATTTATTTACGTGAATTCTTTGCAAAACTAACCTACAAACATAGCTAGAAACCCAGCCTCTTTCCTATTTCTGTATTTCGCAACTTTGACTCCTTTTTGGGATTCGTTTGATTACATGGAAATAATTAAAATTAAAAGTGTAAGAAGAAAAACTGAAACTTTCAACCCAAAGTGAGATGATTATCGGGGATGTGTAGTGCTTATTAAAGAATTAAGAAGCAAACACTAGATAGATTAGGAACACTTTCCCATGCTTTCTTGTACATCTTTTTTATTTCGGGGGTATTATGGTCTTTTAAAATATAAATATATTTATTAAATAAATTTTTTACCCCATTTCATTATTAATTAAATTAAACTTTGTCCCCACCATAATATACATGTGTATGTGTGCTGTGTGGGAGGCACCATTTATCTTCCTCTAGCTAATCAATTGATACAAGTCGTGTACAATTTAATCTCATGTCACCCTGTCTCAAGCTGTTTTTAATAGAAGTCCTTTAGCCCAAAAAAAAAAAAATCAATAGCACATGTATTTTAGGAAATTAAATTAAAAATCAATAAATGTTGGAAAACTATGCAATAATTACTAAAAATTCCCTTAAAATATTTTTTAGCACGAGAATCATAAATATATTCTAGTTATTCCAAAATAGATAAAAAAATTGCTAAAAAGCCTAATTTAAGTTGGTAAAAGTATATAAAAAATCATTAAATATCAAGATGATAATATGTTAGGCCTTTTTCAACCTATAGTTCCGCCTATTTATAAAGAGGCTAGGCCCAACGATCCTGCAGGCTTAGCCTGTTTAGGTAGAGTTATATATTTTTCCTACCAAAAAATTATATAATTTATTTAATTATATTTAATTTTTAGTGTATGTTCTGCAGAAGCTATAGAGTTATCTACCTTACTTTTATAATTACCATTAATTTTCTATCTATGTAGATTTATTTTCTTTATAAAATTTAATTATCTATCTTAATTTTCTGTTCGTTATCTAACAAAATTCTTGGGTGCATTAGTACATGTATATAATAATTCTTTTAGAAAATATTTGGCACCCCACAATTATGAGTCTTGATATCACTCCTTAGTATGTACTGTATTGTGAGATTTTAAATGAATGTAGCATGATTAACATGATTTTTTTATTCCAACGATTTGAATCTAACATTTGATAATATTGTAATACCATAAGTGTCGACTAAGAGTATCCATTTTCATAAAACAGCATTATTTTTTTGTTGACAAAGATATACTGAATCAGCTTTAATTTGAGAAGAAACTGATTTTATAAAATCTGCTTGAACTGCACCATCTTAAAAAATATATATATTAATCTTTGCATATATCAATTCGTCCTTAGTGCTCATCAAACGCCACTAGAATAAATCTAATAATATATGATGAGGCTTATTAGACAGTTTAGCATATAAACTGTCCAATAAGATTATGCAGGTAATAAATATTAGACGGTTATGTGAGTAACTGTCCAATATTCAGTGATATATTGGACGGTTGTCTTTAGAATTGTCTAATATAATAATTGAATTTTAAATTTTTAAATTTTTTTTATTTTGAAATTGATATTGGACATAATTGTCCAATATATAAGATGATAATTAGACAGTTAAGTGTATAATCATTCAATATACGTTTAAAATATAGCCTACCTATCCCATTTCAGATCTAGAAAGTTTCAGACCGTCTTCTTCGTGCGCACTTTGTCTCCCCTGTTCTTCTAGTTTCTCTCATCTCGACCGAGCAAATTTTCTCTCTTGGACTCATGTTCTTCAATCATCCTCAACCTTGCGTGGGTTTGCTCTTCTCCTTCATTGACTGTGTTTTTCAAACTCTATAAGTTCTTGCCTCTTCTCTCCTTATTTGTTCATATTTTTTTCTGAATCTCTTAAATGCTATTTGAAACCATTTAAATGGATTTTTGTGTTTGATTGTTGGTTGCAATTGATTAGGCATGTCTGATTTTCAATTTGGTTTCAATTTATTAGATTGTATTATATTGATTTGGTGTTATTAGTGTTGCCCACAAGGTGTATGATGAAATGTCTCATAGAAAAAAATTATCTTTAGTCGAAATCCATATGAAATTTAAGTTATGGATAAGCTTAAGACATTTGTTAGACTAATAATATTTGATTAGGTCGGAATTATATATAGTTTTTATTTTTATCCGAATTTATTACCCACTTTTTGTGTATTTTTTGTTTGAATAATATTTAACTCATTTGATTGGAAATTTTTTATTGTTTGATTCTTTAAATGATAATTGCGTAGTGTATGAAGTTTTATATTGATTAGAATTGTGTGTAAGTACTTTGAGCTTACTTGAAATTGTTACTCATGTGTCTCTTTTAACTTAAAATATTATATGATATTGTTGTTGATGGTGTTGTGATTGAAATGAGGCAAAATGCCTTGGAAGGTTTTATTTTTATACTGCTATATTGCCCAATTTTCGTTTCAAATTTTGTTTAAGTTTTTTTCTTTCAAGTTAAAGGCATAAAATAATTAGGACTGTATTATTAGTATTCAAATATATATTTTTCTCATTATAATAAGTATTTCTTTTGTGATTGTAATCAAATATAAAACAATTCCTTTTTTTAAATCTCTACAAAATAAATGATTTTTTTATAAAATCTCTAAAGTATTTAAAAATCACTTATTTTTTTAATTTTAAATATAGGGACCCTAATGTTGTTTGGATATATATATTCAAATATAATGGCTAAAGAAATCATGAAAATAAATGTTATAAATTATTTAAAACTTATAAATTAAAAATATTCACTTATTGGCAAGTTTTTGTTTAAGATAAATTACTTACAATTAGCTTAATATAATTGTAATTATTATCTTAAATTTAATTAGAGGGATGATATGTATGCGAAAGCATGTGGCTCGTTAGTAATTAATTTATTTATTAAACTAACTCTTTCAATATGAATGAGTCACTAATATCATTTCTCTTAGCAATTCTTGTTAGATTGAGAAAGATCATGGACAAGGAATGTGTAATAACCCAAAAATTTTAAGTAAAAAAATTAAAAATTAAAATACTTAATATTTTATTTAAGTATATTTATATTAATTTTGAAATAAATTAACAAGAAGAGTTTGTCTAGTGACAATTATATTGCGACTTACCTAATGCGTCATGGGTTTTGAATTTTATGAGGCCAAGAGTGCAAACTTTTCTTATTTTTTATTTTGCTTTAGCTTATTGACAAAATTACAGTAGTGCCCTTCTAGAGGGGGAAAAAAAAAACAGAGAGAGAGAGAGAGACAGAGAGCTAAATGCGTTGCTTTCTTCCCTCCTTATATTTTTCTTTTCTCTGCCGAGAAGTCCAGAAACCACGGAGAGACAGGGAGCTTCGATTTCCTCCAGTCCACTGTCATTCCTTCCCTTCTTTTGTCGCCCTCCACTGCACTTGATCTCTCCCCTCCAGTTTCCGGTGATCGAGCGGTGAAAGTGGAGACTCGACGTCTCTGTGTGATGCCCAGGTTGTCCGTCGCGCTTCCCTGTCTCTACTTGTCTTCTTTGTTGCTTCTCCGTTCTCGCTGTTCACGTGCGCGCAGCTGGGGTCCGAGAATCAGGTCGGTGGAGCTCGTAGGGTTGTTCGTGAGCTCTTCTCTGTTTGGTCTAGTGCTGTGATTTCATTTTCTTCCTTTCGTGCGTACCCTGTCTCTGATTTATTCCCTGTGCAGCTCGTGATCCTCTTTTCCTTCTTCTATTATTGCTGTGGTTGAGTGCATCTGGTCTTTGACTCCCTTTAGCCTGCTTCTGCATTTCAGAAGAGAGTAGTAGTCTGCCGTTGGTTGAAGCTGGAAACACGAGAACTCCTCTCCCTGTTCTATCAGTTTCTTCTTCTTCTTTCCCTCCTCTGTTACTGTTGGTCCTTAAGGTGAGAATTTTTGAACTCTTCTTGATAATTTGGTGCAAGAAAGAGTGTCTGAATGAATGAATGAAATTGGTTTTTTTTTCCCCTAAGTTCTGCTGCTGTCCGTGGCTACTGAGGGAAGGAATGGAATGAAACTGAAATTTATGTATTGAAATTATGATTATGATAAGTATGGTTAGAGTTTTTGAGTCAAAATAATTTTGTTTGAACTAAATGATGCTAAAGAATTGGTTAGGATGAGTTTGAAATAGAAAAACTTGGACATGAAATTTGAGGGTTAGGGCCAGTAAAATATTTGTTAAAATGCTTGTGAAAAGGAGTTTTTTTATTGTGTATTTATTAAAATATTATTAAATTCCTTGAATGATGTAATTGGTTGGGGTGCTATTATTTTATGAATTTAACTTGAAAAATGTAAAAGGAGATATATGAGTAAGTATTTTTTTCTATATCTTTGTGGGATCTCACAAGAAATGAATTGTCTTGGGTGTTGCTCATTTGTGAATTTGAATCGAATATTGTAAAGACATTTATCTATGTTACTGAGAGATTTATTGGATTCTTTAGTTATGGTTGATAATTTATAAAGTATAGTGTTGTGTTGTGATTTAATTATGGGGTGTATATTAGGTGTTCGATGTAACGTGCAATAAAAGAATTATGAAGCAATTAAATGATTAAATGTAAATATATATATATATATATGTATGCATGTGTGTGTGTGTGTGTATGCATGTATGTATGTATAATGTATGTATGATTAAAAAAAATTGGATGTGTATGTTATAGAATTTGAAAATAGAAGTATACTCAATATGTTAGATAAGGAGAGTATTCATATGAAGCAACCATGAAATTAGAGAAGTTTTTAAGATATGAATTTTGGTGTGTTTTGAATAATTACTACTATAGGGATTATCT